TTTTTTACAAATTAAAAGTCTGTAGCAACCCTGCATCAATCAAGTCTATTGGCTTGGCACTGCAGAGTGGGAGAACAATGTGGAACAAAACTCAAAATCATTATTAAAACAAAAAAAAAAAAAAAGACCAGGTTTGCTGGACTGATAGAGCTTGGTGAGACCCGGGAGACTATGGCCCCTGGCTGCCCTTTAGATGTGGAACTGAACTCATTCCCCGTGGCTTCCAGCCAAACAACATACGGGCTGAACATTTGCATCAGGCAGATACTCTCCTTTGAGTCATCAATCATGGGAGAACAGAAGGGCAGTGTTTGCTCAGGGAGACAGCTGGGAGGGGGACAGGAGTGCATGGGAGGGAAGGACACAGGGAAGAGGTAACTACAGGGAGGAAGTGGGAAGAGAGCTGTTGCATTGTGGGAAACTGCAGCCACTGTCATGAGAGAAAATGCGTATGAACTTCTGTAAGGAAAATGAATTTGCTCTGTAAACTTTCACTCAAATCAATAAAAATTAAAAAAAAAAAATTACTAGCATCAGTTTTTTCACAGCATGTGTTTACTTGGTGTCTCTGTATCCCAATTTGGTCATTCTCACAATATTTGAAAAGTTTTGATCATGCTATTGCACACTTAATGGATTACACTATAGTGCAAACATAATATTTGTATGCATTGAGAAGCCAAAATATCCGTGCGACGTGCTTTACTGTCATACTTGCTTGATTGCAGGGGTCTGAACCAAACCCGCAGTAACGCTGAGGTCCGCCTATATGGAGCTGTGACGGTCCACACCTGGGACTGCCTGTCTGTTTTCATCTTTGGTCCATCTTATTACAGACATGCATGACATACAAGGCTGCAGCAGTTAATCTGCTGATGTTATCATTCCCAGATGTTCACGCACAGATGTTCAGCTTTATAAAGATACTGATAATTAAAGGCAGTAATCATGAAAAAATAACAAGGGATTCGACTGACGTCAGAACCGACTTGCCATGGAGTCTGTGGAACGTCATCTTGTCGTAAGTTAGGGAAGACCTGTGCTTGGTTACAGCTGCCCTAGGAAGGTGGTACACAAGTAGTGGTCTCTGTGCCTGGAACACCCTTATGTGTCCCCTGTCATGCTGAACAGTCCTCCACATCTTCAAGACTCGGCTCAAACATCACTTGCTTGGGGAAGAAGCCCCGCAGAGGATTCTCAGGACCCCCAGATACCGCACCATGCAACATCACCCCCTGACTATGACGGCCTCGTACACCATCCACCTCCTCACTGAGCTGTTGTTGTTAAATGCCGTCAAGTCGGACCCGACTCATAGCGACCCCTCCTTGGGTTTCCAAGGCGGTATCACTACGGAAGTAGATTGCCCAACCTCCCTTCCGAGGAGTGGCTGGTGG